CATCATCCAAGGACGCGCTTCATCAGCGTCATTGTCCTCAACTTTGGACATGCATCCAACGCCTTGTCCTTCGACTCAAGACTGGCCTCCTCAGTGCCGAGCGTCTTGGGCTAGCGAGCGAGCTTGCCACTCCCTTCCTAGATGACGACCCTCGCCTCCATGTCATGAACGTCCCCATCAGCGCTGTCATCATCCAAGGACGCGCTTCATCAGCGTCATCGTCCTCAACTTTGGACAGGCGTCCAACGCCTTGTCCTTCATCTTAAGATCGGCCTCCCCAACACCGAGCGTCTTGAGCTAGCGAGCGGGCTCACCATTCCCTTCCTGGATGGCGACCCTCGCCTTCATGCGACGAGCGACTTCATCATCGCTGTCATCCTCAAATCACACCCGGTCCCTCGGCCTCGACGAGATTGTTTAATTCAAGGTCGGCTTCCTCAGCGCCGAGAGCCTTGATCTTACATGACGAACGACTTCATCAACACCTCGTCATTATATTATAGGACCGGCTCCTCATCGTCGTACGTCCTCAGATAATGGCAGACCCCTCAGTCTCGACATGATCCTTCATCTCAATACCGGCCTCCTCAGCGCTGAGTGTCTTGAGCCAACGATCGGGCTCTCCATCCCTTCCGGGATGGGGACCATCGTCTCTACCTGACGAACGGCTTCATCATCGCCTCGTCCTCAGATCACGAACGGCCCCTCAGCCTCTGCATGATCCCGTATCTCAAAGACCGGTCTTAGCCATTCCTTTAGCGGATGGCGACCGTTTCATGGATTTCGGACCGGCCCCTCAATGTCGTCGTCCTCATATCTCGAGACTGGCTCCTAACGCCGAGGTACTGTTATAGCGACCAGGCTCGCCATTCCTTTCCTGGATAGCAACTGTCGCCTTCATATGACGCACGGCTCATTACCACCGTCGTCCTCATATTCATATAGGCACCCATCGCCTCATCCTCATATTCGGACCGGCTCATCAGCGTCGTCGTCCTCAGCACCAGGCGGGCGTCCCCCCAACAGACGGACACCGCTGCAACTCCACACCTAGGTCGAAGGATTCACCCCTTGGAGTTCATTTTGGGGGATCCGGTGTGCTCTTTTTCCCTCATTAGGATTTTTTCCCACAGGGTTTTTCCTAATGAGGTTTTTAACGAGGCATCACCCCATTGTGGATCAAAAGGTGTCGACCCTCGGCCCCCTATTTGAAGACGTGCATTGCTCTACTCCTCTTCACCTCACTACATGAGCCTCGAGGAGTGGGGGACTGGGGGACTACATCAGTCTCCACATACACGCAAACATCCAGAAAGCAATAGCAAAGCAAGGACTACCAAGTAGTGCCCCCGTCGGCCAGTGCCTCCGTCGGCCAGACGAAGGTCTGGGGGACTACATCGGCTCCAGCGCAAAGATAAACAAGTTCAAAAATGCAACGACCACAAGCCTATGACAATGGTATCTCAACGTCCACAACCATGTCAAGGACACTCCTCGTCCTCAAGGCCAATGGCACGCATCGTCTCTAGGACAATGACATTCATCGACCATATCACGAACACAACAAACGCAAGTGTAAGATCCATCAACTAAAGTCAAAGGCATAAGGGCAGGACATTCATCGTCCACAGAGCCAAGGGCGCCCAACGTCCTCTGGTCCAGGACCCTCATCATCCTCAAAGCCATTGACAACCAACTACGAGTGATTTCGCCTCGGCCTGGAGCACTGAAAGCAATTGTGATGCCTCCTCGGCTGCGCAGGGGTCACATCCATCGTCCTCGAGATAAAGGACGTTCATCATCCTCAAAATGAAGGACGTCCATCGTCCTCAAGATGAAGGACATCCATCGTCCTCGAGATAAAGGACGTTCATCGTCCTCAAAATGAAGGACATACATCGTCCTCGAGATAAAGGACGTTCATCGTCCTCAAAATGAAGGACATCCATCGTCCTCAAGATGAAGGACATCCATCGTCCTCGAGATAAAGGACGTTCATTGTCCTCAAAATGAAGGACGTCCATCGTCCTCAAGATGAAGGACATCCATCGTCCTCGAGATAAAGGACGTTCATCGTCCTCAAAATGAAGGACGTCCATCGTCCTCAAGATGAAGGACATCCATCGTCCTCGAAATGAAGGGCATTCATCGTCCTCAAAATGAAGGACATCCATCGTCCTCAAGATGAAGGACATCCATCATCCTCAAAATGAAGGACATTCGTCCTCCTCGGGATGTAGGACGCTCATCGTCCTCAAAATGAAGGACGTCCATCGTCCTAGAGATGAAGGATACTCATCGTCCTCAAAACGAAGGACATTCATCGTCCTCAAAATGAAAGACATTCATCGTCCTCGAAAGGAAGGACAAGAGACAGCCGACTATGGCACCGCCTCCAATTGAAATGAAGGACGTTCCTAACAGCTCAGTTATGGAACCCCTCAGCCATGAACACTAGAATTCCCGGGTAATCCTCCGTCGGCCAAAGCGTCAGAACGACAAGGATCTACTCCCTTTCACTTCGTCTGCATCGCAGCTCAGAGAGTGGGGGACTCCTGATGGAGTATATGGGTCCAGACCCCATGACCCACATACTCAGAAGACTAAGATGAGCACAACTGTCACCCAGTGGGCCCTCCGTCGGCCAAATTGCTCCGCATCGGCCGAAAAAGAGTCAACCCGAAATACGCTCCAGAAGCCAAGGAGAAGACTTGTCCTCCGTCGCCCAGTGCCCCCGTCGGCCGAGCGCCTCCGTCGTCCATGCCTCCGTCGGCCGAGCGCCTCCGTCGTCCATGCCTCCGTCGGCCGAGCGCCTCCATCGGCCAGAAGGAACTCACAGAACTAGACTTCTAATGTAATCAGCCCAATAGAGACTCTATATTGAAATGGGCCTCCCGAGCCCAAGACTTGGGAGCCCAGCCCACTTTTCCCTATAAATACTCCCCTTGGGAGCCATGTAAAGGGTTCGAAAATCATTAATACAACTCACTTCTCTCTCTAGCTCTCCCTTCTCTCTAGAAGTTAATACTCCATCAATAATCATTGTATTCTTATTTAAAATATTTATTGTGCTAATTTTACAATTCAATATCAATGCTCTTTTTTTAATGGTATATTTACTTAAGTGTAATATAAAACTCATTTCAATACATTTATGTAATAAACATATTTCAATTCAAATTAGCTATGTTGTTTTATTATATAAAAAATGTTAGAAAAATATATTTCTCCATCTTTATAGAATGTTTAATCATCAAACTCAAAAAATAACAAAATCAAGATCAAAAATTTGTTAAAAGTGCATAATTAGAAAAAGCTAAGTAAAATAATTCTAAACAACAAATTTATGCAAAACAAATCATTCATATGTTAACAACATTTATACAAGTGCATCGTACAATAAAATAATTCATAAAAAATGGACATTCACCGATGTGGATCGGATGATATGAGATACTAGTAGGGTCGTAAACGAATCAAATAATATGTGCTCAATTCGCGATTCGAATTCGTATAAGACAATTCGAATTTGGAAAATACAAATACAAGTACAAATAAGAATATTAAATTTGATTCGAGTTGTTATCAAATACAAATATGAATATCAGTGTATTCGAATCGAATATTAATCAAATATATTCGATTAATAATAGTGATAATATTAATAGTATAACACTATAATGACTTTTAAAAGACATATGATATATATATATATATATATGCCTACAAATTTGAAGCCCATTTGTAGTAAATCAGAATATAAATACGAATACAAATCATATTTTTGGTTCAAATGTCTTCCAAATACAACACATAATATGTATTCAATCGGAAGAATAAAATTAGAGTCATTTGATTTTGATATATACAATTATCAACTTATTTCACACATTATAAGTATAATTTCTAATGTGTGTGTTAGTGTTTATTTTAAAAGGTTTGAAATAGATTTATATTTGTTAATCATATAATTTATTCTCTTTAGTATATTGTGCACAATCTAAAAATGCATTGATCCATTAAATTTAAATTCTAAAAACACATATTAAGTCATAGCACTCATTTACAACATAAAAAATATATGAAAAGTTATTTTAAAGTAATGTTTGACTAATATTTAACGTATGTTCAAATCGATTCGATATTCGTATATGACTCGTTAACTATTCTTATTGTTAAACAAATACAAATCGAAATTAATATTCGTTTTATATTCGGATTCGAATTTGTATTTGAAAAAAAATAAATAAATACAAATACAAAATCCCACCATTCGACTCGATTCGATTCGTTTACAACCCTAGATACTAGTATATTTGCCCACACTCAAACAAACAGCCCGTTTGGTAACATGAAAATCGGCTGATTCGACTGATTCTGCTGAAATTTATGAAGTTCAGGCTGAAGTGGCTGCATTGGCTGATTCGGCTGATTTAAGAAAAAATAATTTTAAAATATATTTTATTAATAAAATAATTAAAAATTTATATGTAAAATAGCTAAAATGATCATCAACAATACTTCATCCAATAAAGCCAGAAAAGTTACTTCAATCTTATTTTATCTTATTATTACATAATTCAGCCCGCGAAAATAAAAATTACGTGTTTGATGAAAAAGTTGGCTGATAAACCTAATAAGCCGAAAACAGTGTTACCAAACTGTCTCTAAATCATGGATGGTATGGAGTGATATGGCTTAAGTTACTTTCTTATAACCACTTAATTAAAAGTGTGGCCATCGCGAGCCACCTAAGCCTTTCATTAATCGTGTAGGACTCCATAAAATCTTGTTATTACTTCCTTAGTTCTTTTTTAATTTCGATGTCCACTTTTCACTCTTATCAATGCACAAGTTTCACCATTAATACCTTTCATTCTTTATTAATAAAAAAATTAAAAATTTCAAATTTTGGAAATTGAAAATGAGAGGAATTTAAAAATATTTTTTTAAAATTTAATTTATTATACGTTAATAAATACCCGTAAAATATAATCAAAGTAGAACTTTGAAGTTCAAACTTGAGCTCCCTGGGCTCTTATATTTGCCGATCACTCGTTTGGCTAAGCTTACAACGGAAATGAGTCTTACTTCCTCGATAACTCCCCTCTTCACAACCCCAAGATTTTCAGCTAAATCTCCCGAATTTCATTTTCAATTCGCCATCTCCAATTCTTGTAGTTCATCCAATATCGTCCTATCCTTCTCTTCATCAAGTTTTGGGTTTTGCTGCAGAGCAATTCCTACAACTTCTACGCCCTCTCCTTATGGAGCTCCAACTAAAGCCCATCAACATTGGATGGTTCTCGTGGAACCTCCCCCTCAAGGTTTCACTTCAAGGTCTCAAATCATCAATTACTATGTCAAGACCCTAGAGAGAGTCTTGGGCAGGTTTCTTTTGCAGCCATATCAAATTCTCATTTTTTTAAAGATGCTTTATTTATTTACTTCTATCTCAAAGATTAGTTTCATGAAATTTGGTTCCCTCCCCATGGAAATTGAAGATGGCCAAATACTTGCAGGCTTTCTGAATTAAATTGGGGATGCTTGGTGGTAATGATTAGAAAAGGGTCAAATTTACCCTTACTCTTGATACAATGAAATAATGTATAAGTTGTACGTAGTATAATGGAATGCACGACTATATTGGTTCTATTAATAATAAATAGAGTGCATATCAGCATATGAGGTTTATATCTTACTCATAGTCATACAATAGGAAAGTGAATCACATAAAAAAAGAGAAATTAATAATATAATTAGTAAAAGATTATTATTATCTCCTTCCTACGTAAAGGTTCTCATTGTAAAATGACACGATTATTTAGACAATAATTAAATAAAGTAATTCGAGTATATTTTACGAAATAGTTTTGATGGATATATTATATAATGGGGTCATTGATGATAACTATGATGTTGTAGATGTATTCTTTTTAATATTTGATGATTAAATTGTCATTTAAGAGTATGAATTGTTTCCTAAAATAGAAACGGGAACGTTTATATAATTATATGGGACGCCAGACGCCTAAAAAGGGAAAGCAGGAACCTTAGAATGGAACGGAGTGAGTACTAAATATATAATGTCCTAATATGGATTTTTGTGATATACACTTTAGTAATTGTTCATATTGATTTTTCAGGGGATTAAGAAGAAAATAGCAAAGTTAGTGAATAGTGTAGACCAATGTAAACATAGGAGAGAATAAGTGGAAAAAAATGAAATAGAGAGTTAAAAAACTAGAAAAAGTAAGATGACAAAGTGAAGTGAAAGTGACAATGAAATTGGAACAAATAATAAAGCACTTCTCAAGAAGGAATATGGAACAAATAATAAAATACTAAGGGAGTAATATTATTTCTGAGACTATCCCATTTTCTAATTTCTTGAAAGCTTTTGTCTGGGTGTTAGAATATATCTCAGGAAGGTTGTTTCATTAATTTTAGTTCTTCTTCTTTCTATCTTTCGTTTATGAAGTGAGAGGGACGCTCAAATGTGTATATATGATTCTTCTTATGAAGCAAATTTTGGGTTTTGCTGCGACATTACTGAAGAGGAAGCTCAAAAGCTAGCAGGTAGTGTTTTCTCTTCAGGTTTAAATACATAACATGGAATTCTTTAATAGAAAATCATTACTTTTACTTTACCTCGAGTCACCTATAGGATTTCTGCTTTCTATCCTGTCATTCTTTAGTACGAATAAATTGCCAATGCTCAATTCGTGTTTCTGAATCATAGGTTTACCCGGTGTATTATCAGTTAAGCACGATCCCTGTTATAACTCCAATGAAAAGGATTACAGTCTGCCAAGTTCTTTATCAAACATGGGTAGCTCATTACTATTCCCAATTGGAACATCTAAACGCTGGTGTGTTCGTACCAGCAGGCCAGCTGTTGAAGTCTCTGGAAAGGCACCATTGGTTGACTATTATGTTCAGATTCTAGCAGAAGTTCTTCGGAAGTGTGTAAACGTTTCTATTTCTTTTTACTTCTCTGCTCTTATATTTGGGAATATTTAAACAATGGCATCTAAAGGCAGTATGACCTTAATTGGTTAGTGAGAAGGATGCTCAAATGTGCTTGTATCGTGTACTATGGGGTTCTGAATATGGATTTTGTTGTGAAATAGATGAAGAATGTGCACAAGAGTTAGCAGGTAAGAATCCTTAGTTATCACTACTTGTATGGAAAAAAATAGTCATGTTACCCCAGCATACAATTTTTTCTTTTGGTAGAATACAACTCTCATAAATAATTACTGTGCTTATATTTTATAAATTAATTTGTTGTTGTAGCCAAATTTATCTTATGTGACTTGTCCTCTGTGACTGTTTTGAAAAATTACATCAAAAACTAGTTCCGTTTGATCAAACTGAACTCTTTATTTGGCATGTAGTACATAATAATTATCAGAACATGATTTTTGGGGGGAACTTCATCTTGGTAAGTGCACTCGGTTGATCTAGTGTAGGTGTACCGGGAGTTTTGTCTGTCCACCCAGATGATGAGTTTGTGTCAGATAAGGAAGACTATGAAGGTATGTGATGATAACTTAATCTCTTAGTTTATTTACTGCCGTTGTTGAGTGTTGACCTTTGTTGGGGGTCTAACCCAAGTGTCACATTCGAAAAATAAAGGAGAATCATCGTGAATATAAGTGTCCATCTAACTGCATTCGCATGAGGTCTTTTGGGTGTGTCAAATATAAGTTCATGCGGGTTTGTCACAAACGGACAATATCAAACTAATGTGGAGCTAAGGTGACCTGTGTCGTCCTAATCGATGATCTAAAAGGCATTTTGTATTTTGCTAATGTTTATTACTCCGTATTTTATAAGGATATATAACAAAGTAATAAGTACCCAACAAATTTGGTACAAGTCTAGACATAATTTTTACATTTTTCAATAATTTAGTCCTTTTTCTAAATTGAAATTACTAGTTGGGTGTCAACTTTTAAGTTGGCCACTTTTTTCACCCTTAGCTATGAAGCAGCATTTTCCCACCAACCGCCTTATGTCTATTCGCCTCAATTTGGAACACTTTACCTGATAGAAACAACTTAAAGAGTTTTTTCATAATCCTAATATAGCGGCATTGATATGAAAACAAAGCTCAAGTCCAGAATCCCTAACCAAAGTAATCGTCTCAGGTGGAAGCTCAAAGTATACTGATGATTCCCGGGATTCTTCAACATCAAGTGTTAAAACCAAGAAGCTTTTTGTGACTGGTACGTTGCAACTTTTAAGCCACGTGATGTTTGGTTGGTTTTGTGGAAAGCACTTTTTCATGGAAACCAACCCTTCCCCTTACTCCCTGGAAATGAACTCTGTGATTTTCAAGGAAAATGAAGTCTCACATTCTATCGGAAGTAACACTGAAAAAACTATCAAAAGGAAAAAAAGCCAAGTCCTATTGTTGTGTTTTGTTTTACCATAGTAAACACGAAGGAGTATGTATGATTGATGTTTTTAACTAAATTTTTTAGATAATAATTATTTCAATAGATAAACTAAGTAGTTGAAGTTTTGAAATAATATAAATAATAAATCTATCGAATTTTGAACAGATATTTAATTTCCACCACATTTTCTTTACTATCTAATTTCCTATATACTCCGTATATTTCATATTTGCCTCCCTATTTTCTTTCCTAGCATCTCCAGAGTTTCAAATAGACCCTTTACATTAAAACCACACACCAAAGTTAGAGATGGGCAAACGAATGGGTGTGTTATATTAGCTTTGTCTACTAATTTGTGTGATTTGTCATGCGTGGTCAGGTCTATCATTCTATACATCCGAGAAAACATTGCGTGCAGCGTTTGAAGGGTATGGGAAGCTTGTTGAAGGTATTTTTACTTTAAACTGCGGTTCAGACTATTTTTCATAAACATTGCGTATGGGGATCTGTAAATCTTCCTCTGGTTTTCGATGTAATAACAATATTAAAGAGTTTTTCCCATCATTTGCAATGGAGCCAAAGATTCATTTTTTTTGGCTTGAGATGATGATGGAATAAAGCAAAATGACTCACTAAACTGTCTGCGCTTCTTTGTTATGAAGCAGCAGTCAGTCCATGCAATTTTGGACGGGATTTTCACTATGGGTCATCCGGAAATAGTCTCTTTGTGCTTTAGTACAGGGGTAAGACTGCGTACATCCGACCCCCCTTACCCCACCGTAGGTGGGAGCCTTTGCGGCACTGGGGTAAATGAAAATGAAAATGAACAATATTAAAGAGTTGTTGACCAAACACAGTATAATACCCCCCTAAATCTGGACAGTTAAAATAATCGTGGACAAGATTTCCAAGAGGTCAAAAGGCTATGGTTTTTTGGAGTACACAACAGAAGAGGCTGCAAATGCTGCTCTCAATCAGATGAATGGCAAGGTTAGCTAGCTGCAAGCCTGCAAATGACTACATTTCATTATTATTATTTTGGAAAATTAGAGTTCACATCCCATTTTCAAATCATTAACATTTTTCATTCCGTGCTTAGAGGAAACTGGTGGGAATACTACAATTTGGAACAATGTTCAGGGGTGCAATTTCAAACAATTTTGATGGCTATTAGCAGATTTTCCTAATTGCGGTGCAAATATTAATGATTTGAAAAATGGGGTGAAAACTCAAATTTGAAAAAAGTGGGGTGCCAAAAGAAGTCCCTGATTTTCCCACTAAACTGGATTTATTTGGTGCTGTTGAATTCCACAGATCATTAATGGGTGGATGATCACGGTCGATGTCGCAAAGAAGAATCCGCCAAAATATAATCGAGGGAGCTCGGGTCCAGTTAGCTGACATTTTCCTAGCATTTTGGCTGTCTTGGCATTCAGTTACCAGCAGTCAAAGAAACCCTTTTTTCTATACAACGGAACAGTGCAAGATTTGGCAAGTTTACCCCCAAAACTACTGCAGTGTCTTGTAGAGTTGCAGCCAAAGAGCACTGGTGTATTATTGTACAACCACCATACTCGGTTATTTACTATTGGGCAGGGCCGTCCAATGAATTTGGAGGCCCCAGTTCGAAATGACATATCGAGGCCCCCTAAAACAATAATGAATAACAATTCTAACAATGAAATACAAAAACACTAAATAGTTCATGAAATATAAGTTTTATAATGTTTAAAGTACATCGTTCAAAAAAATGTTTAAAGTACACAAGTTGGACAATCTTAAAGTAATATTACTATTGCTAATGAAGTTTCACATGAATAGAGCTGTCCTCCTAGCAGTTCTCGAAGCAAAATAATCAATCAAATCTTGGGAGAACTATCAAATAAGCCTTCGAACTTTCATAAAAAGTGCAAATAAGCCCTTTCATAGGAGGCTATGTCCGGTCATCACCATTTGGGGCGGTTTATGGTGGAACTTTTTGATGTAATGGTTTTATCATCATCTTCATTAAGTCTAGTTTACGCATACCAAATTTCAGCTAAACATTCAATCGGGAAGGCAGTCAAATGAATTTGTGAAGATAACTGCGCGGTTAGGCAGCGCAGTATATTTCAGAAAATCATTTGACTGCATTCTCGATTGAATTTTTAGCTGAAAATTGGTATTGATAAACTAGACTTAATGAAGAAGATGGTCAAAAAATTCCATCAAAAAATTCCACCGGAAACCACCCCAAATGATGACAGCCGGACAAAGCCTCTTATAAAAGGGCTTATTTGCACTTTTTATGAAAGTTCGAGGGCTTATTTGATAGTTCTCCCATCAAATCTTTATACTCTATCTTCTCAAGAACTTCATTCTCGATTGATATCATTGCCAAGTCTTTGTTGTGACATTGTTGATCGCAAGTGAGACTTTAATAACTTGACCTTCGGAAAACTTCTTTTTGCACTAGCCACAATCACAGGAATAGTCAACATTATTCTATAAGCAATAATTGCATTAGGGAAACAACTAAAACTACGCATCAACAACTTCAGAATATCAATAGATCTCAGCTTCTCTTCTGACAAGAATCCCTCAAAAAATTTCAGCTCGATATATAAATCAGTTCTATCCACATCAGATTGTGCGTCTTTTTTAAGAGCACCTTCAAGATGAGTGCAACATGACATTAAATGTGCATCATCCAGTGAATTCAACTTCTCAGAAGTAAACATAAAACCAAAATGGCAAATAAGGATTTTAAACAAGAACAATATCACCTCAAATCTCTGAGTTGTCACCATACCATCAACAACTTTAAAGTTTAAACTCACAACCAAGCTTCAGCCCTCCAACTAGGCAACTCTCAAGGTCTCCTGTTTCGCATCTCCACCCTCCAACCAATGCAAATTCCTGAAAAATGTAAAATTTTAAAATATTAGAAGATTAAAAAGCTCAAAATTTATCATATTCACATATGCTATAATTAAAAAAAATTAAAAATGAAAATACCTCTTATTATGGTAATCGGTTCCGAATTCCGATGCTTAAGAATTGAAGAGACTGCCTTCCTTGTCCTTGAATCCTTTCTCTTGAATTTAAATTGTTTGGTTCTTAAGTTGTAATTTAAGAAGTGAAAAGTCATTTAAGTTTTAGGAGTAAAAAGATCCTACCCGAGCGGTCGAGCACAACCCTACGTAGTACGTACACGACTCTAGTTTAACTACTTAATTGTACAAAAAAGCTAAACTAATTAAGCAATTATTATGTACGATTATATAATTGCTTCAAAAAAAAAGTACAGTTATGTAAAAAAATGTTCCATTTTTCAATTTATAAAAACTAAAAGTTATACAAATATGAAATAATACACAATATCTAGAGAAATTAACCAATAACTAATACTACTTAATAAATATTTGGAGGCCCCTTATAGACATAGGCCCCGGTGTGAAGCACCTATTGCACCTCCTAAAAGACGGCCATGCTATTGGGCCAAATACCCAAAAATGCATCTGAATATCCAACAGAAAAAACCGTGATGACCACTAACGTAACTCATCATCATCTAACATTCTAACATCTTACGGAGTATCTTATTTAATCCTAGATTAATTTACATAATCCATAATGACCATAAAATTAATAAAAAAAAACACACATTGATCTTGGACATGCGAGATTACCATACCATGTACGTGATCTGAAGACTATTTACAACGCCAAGGAAAATAGCACTCGAATTAAGACAAACTAGCCAAGTATTTCAATGTTTTACTTTTATTGCTGCAATTGATTTTATGATTATTTACCATTTTTATTTTGTTAATGTAAGAATTACTAGTAGCATGGTTCGTAATTGATCATTTTTTAAAATTATTGGGTTATTTTGGTACGGTAGGGGCTAAATGAGACTTTTGAAAACTAATGGTTATTTTTTGACATTAACTTCTTATTCTTGAACATAGCTTAGCACCTGACTGCCTGAGCCACATGTGACCTGCACTATCGTTTGAGTAGCAGTATAGAAGATAAAGCTAATGGAAAAAGTTACTTGTACACATAAGTTGTACATAGGCAACTAGGAGTGTGTACACAAAATGTACACTTTTTTTTTTTACAAAATGTGCACAACAATAATTATCCAAGGATCATATATTAGGCAGAGACATTATTCAACTTACAGATTGCCAAAACAGGTACTTCTGGAAAGAGAAAACGTATAAGACTAATACCATTCCTATGTACAAATGTCCATTAGCACATGACTTATCCAGCAAACCTAAGATTAAAGCCTTTATAAGATAAACCAACCACATCAGTATACAATTGTTCACTACCACCAACTCTGCAAGAGATCTATTTTCCTCCGTGGTACAGCTGTTGATAGTTTTATTGAAATGTAGTGTGATCAAATTAATAGGGATCAGTATCATGATTACAACTTTTACCAGCAGTAAAAAGTAAATAAACTCCCTTAGAGCAATTAATTACCCTTCCTCACCAAACTCTCTTGTAAACCTCTCATGCACTTCAAGATCTGATTTGCTCACTGTCGGCTTCTGTTTTGCCAGCACTTTGTCAAAATCTCTCCGCGCGATTGGAGGTGGTGTTACCTGTAGATGAATGTTTAATTGTCCAATTATTATGAGTAAAAAATATATCTGATTTAGGAATAGTAAATGTAGGAGGCTTTGCTTTTATATTTTACACAAGAAGCTGATAGATAAACTAGCGTTTGACATCATATATTACTACTTGGCAAAAAAACAGCTAAAATGTTAAATTACTAGATAGAATATATAGTGACACGATAGGATATGTTCAATAATTCTTTAATAGCGACTTCGTGTAAATGTTATCATTTTTTGTTTCATTTATGGGTATCAAGTTTGAATATTGCCGTTAAAACAGTTGTCTGCTAATTCTTCAATTGCGCTTTCCTGCATTTGACCTATTTTATAGACAAATAGATCTATAATGTCTATTATTAAAAAGTACTCTCCAATCACACTAGCAAGAGTGCATTCTTGTTATGTATAGATGTTGACTTTTAATTCTATTGTGGCTCTGCTCCATATAAAGGGCTAATTAATAATTTAATATGAAGCGCAACAAATCAAATTAATCAAACAGGAGAGTGATGTATCACAGATCGTTCAAAATTGGCCATGCTGTCTGGAGAACGTAAAAGGGACCAATGAGATATTTTACCTTTGAAGCTAAGCCTTTAGCTGCAAGCTCTTGCATGTTAGTCTGAATGGCACCTGGCTGCCTAGGTCCACACGGCACCCATAGTTCATCACGAGTCTTGATAAAGAACTCAGCGTCTTGAGTCTTGCGAACCGGTTCAAACAAAACCTCATTTACCTGAAATTTCAGGGAGGTCAGAGAGGAAAGCTACTTCAACTAAATCTTTAGAAACAATGATTCACGTTTAGGAAATTGATCATTGTTACATAGTAAATATATCTGTTTGAAATGTCAATTAATGGAAGATAGATGTTTCAGACTTGGAATTATAAAAAATTTAAGTAAAAACTCTGGTTACTCATGAACTACTCCTACAACATCAACAAATAAAAACGGAGGGGTATGTTTTACTTTATTGGGTTGCTAAATGATCACTTATTCGTGAAGCAATGCATTTTCCTGATGAATGTTATTTGATAACGGATGGAGTATATGACACTTACGCAAACAGATATGTCAGAACCTGAAAAACCTTCTGTTTTTATAGCTAGTTGCTCAAAATCACTTTCAGAAAGGTTGTGAGGAGTATCACCCAGATGTACCTGTTTGTATAGACAATATAATAATGATTATACAAACTACAAGAAAAGACCAAAAAGATGCTCTGTAGAAAGCTTATTGTACCTTGAACATATGCTGTCTTGCCCTCATATCTGGTAGAGGAATATATATTCTCTTGTCAAACCGCCTCCTAATAGCCTGGTCTAGTGCATAAGGAGTATTTGTCGCCGCAAGAACAAGAACCTTTTCATCATTATGTCCAACGCCCTAAAATGTAACAACAAAATCAAGTAAACTGTGGAAAGAATGCAAGTCTTATCACATATTCACATTTATTGGACACAATATTAGAAATATAAAAATGAATGGTACTTAAGATGTAAATAGAGATATAACTTTTCCCTGAGAAAAGCTAGTTCACAGAGTTTCCTTCCATTATTAATAGTTTATTTTGCTTTTTTTTTGCTTTAAAAATATAAACTCCGAAGTTATATTATTTTGATTTCTTCCTCGAACCAGCCCCAAAGAAATTGAACATTTTCAATGAAGCAATATAGAGTTTTACCCATAATTAAAAAAAAAAACTCACCTGCATCTGTACAAGGAGCTCAGTTTTGATACGTCTTGAAGCTTCACTCTCATTGCTCTCACCTCGTTGGCCAACTAATGAATCAATTTCATCTACAAAGATAATGGATGGAGCACTTTCACGAGCCATTTGGAATAGATTAGAGACGAGCTTTTCACTTTCACCCATCCATTTTGAAACAAGGTCTGAGGAAGAAATACTGTATATATACAAGAAGCAAAATTTGTAAGTCGCTTCAAGTAAGATACAATTTATCAAGATTCAAGAGCATCACTCATGACTTTAAATTCCATCATTTGCAATGGACTATGAAGCAAAAGAATCACTATTTTTTGGCTTGGGAATATGATGGAATAAAGCAAAATGGCTTACTAAAGTGTTTGCGCTTCTTTGTTATGAAGCAACAATCAGTCCATGCAATTTTCGACCGGAAACAGTCCCTCTCTGCTTTAGTACAGGGGTAAGACTGTGTACATCCGATCCCCCATTACCCCACCGAAGGTGTGGGAGCCTTTGCGGCACTGGGATAATGATGATGATCATTCATGACTTTAGTCGAGTGTACACTAGTAAATAAGAGGACTAGGAATTTTCCCAACACGTGCCTAACTAGAGTTTAATAGTATTATATGATGGTAGAAGCACGTTTTCATCATACCTGAAGAAAGTTGAGTCAGCTTCTGTAGCTACAGCTTTTGCTAGATATGATTTTCCTGTTCCAGGTGGACCGTAGAGTAGAAAGGCCCTCCATGGACGCCTCTTTCCTATTCAAATACATAAAATGAATAAGAACTATCAATTTTTTAAATTAATAAGAATTATACTTGCATATTATTTTGTGCATTTTCCGTAGTTTAAAAAAGAAATGTTCGATTCTTTTGTTGTCCTTGATATCGCAAGCTTACTGTATTCTTTTTATTTAAAAGAAAGAAAAAAGAACCACAATACTAGATAGCATTAAAAAACTTAATCTGCACTTGGGTTCTGCAAGAGAGTTAACCGATATGACCAGTGGGTGGCAGGCTCCACTTCCAGCGGACCAAATATTGGAAACCTAATTAAGTTGTCCAAAATTTCACTTCATTTAAAAAGCATCCTAAAAGTTAGTGATTAAGGTAACTTCTTTATAGGAGAAACATTATGCGATTTCTGGAGAAGCTTCCATGACATTCATAAAGAGGCATTATGCAGAACCTATGCTCTTAGCTATTGACTCTATGGTCATAGATTCAACCCCATCCAATAAACCATTGTAGAAAAATTGGTAAGAGAAGTAGGCAAACCAATGTCTACACAATGTTTCCAAATTCCGCATGATTTGGAAGTCTTGGACACTAGGTACAATGTCCAGAATATAATGCACTGGAGAACTGGACTGTAATACGTGCAACTACAGAAGTCCCACAATACACGGGTAATGTGGGTCCATGCAAATATAGAAAAAAAGATAGCATGAAATGATTACGACTGCCACTATCAGTCTCCAACATAATCTGGCGTTTTTTGGAAACTCTACATTAAGTTCAATAAAATAAATAGCTTCCTCTGTTCCTCATTAGTTGAATAAGACTCTTTTTTTGGACCAAAAGAATAGAACAAGACTTTCATTTTGGATGGAATAGTCGGAGATATCCTTATTTAAAAAGGAAGGAAAAAAAGCAGCAGCAGAGATAAATCTAATGGCTTGAAGAACCAACCAGTGAAAAACTGTGGAAATTTAACAGGTAATATCACAGCC